CCATTACGCTAGGAGACAGTTCAATTTAGCCGACGATGAGCTTCTAAGGTTCTTTTTGCCAGATTTTTCTTTGTTATTTTGATCTGAATTTTCATTCATGGCGTATCCATGGTGGAGTTACTAGAATATTTTGGAGTAGCAGCCCAGTGTTACAGATATAAATGGTTAAATAAATGGGATCAAGAGATGAATGCACTCGAGGAGGCCACAGGATTTCTTCACGAGATGCCTGTAGGTGTTTTCCTTTCGGCTGTCCAGTGAATTTACTTTTTGCTTACTTTTTAAAATTGATAATTTAGCTCAAATCCAGAAGAATTCAATCAATATTCAGGCATACGTATCGTGCAAGCACCACGAGGACAAAAATGCATCTTGCTTCTTGAAAACGTGCCGGTGTGCTGTTCGTGTTCAATTTCCATACATCAAAAAGTTTCACCGACTACAAAGTTGGTGTTGAAGTGCCTGGGATGTGAGTCTTGTCATTAAAGTAATTCAAGTTATTTTCTTTCCGTAAGCACGTCTTGTGGTTTTGACCACCGTTTATCGGGGCGCAGAGTTTCTCCTCGTAAGTCCTTTTGTACGACATGGCGATATTTTCTAGGGAGTTGCGCTGAATGAAGCAATGCTGCGATGTTGAAAATGATTTCAAGAGAAGCGAATTAGGTCCCTTACTACAGTTCAGAGAATGGGGACCCGTACTCATCAGCCTGTCACCCTACTTCAGAGCACTGTTGTTCAACAAATTTCAGAGCTGGTAGTCATACTTGACGCAAGTACCCACCAGGGCATATCATCCAACGTGGGAAATTCCACTGTCGAAACAAATACGGGCAGCTGTATAAAACCCACTTTACCTTACCCACCATTCTCTTTCGAACTTCCCGTTAAGAGAAGACTGAACACTATGCTCAAGAGGGAAAAAGAAAAAAAAACTCCGACTGGAGACTCTAAACACCCATTTCCACCACCACACAGCCGATCTTTCAGAACAACCAGCAACCTTAATACGGCTCCTTACCTGCGACTTCGATTTCAAACGATGATGCACCCACCACCCAAGCACCTAAGCGCCCAAGCAATGTTCAAGGATCAAAGTTCTGATTGATTCCTCTCAGTATAGCTTAGCCTTCCATCTCCCTGGGTCGTCGAACTGGTACCAGGTTCGAGGGGGGGGAGGGGAGTTGAAAGCTAGGAGGTGGCTTGAGGAGGGGAGGATTGAAAGGCAAGTGGTGGCTTTAGTTCTTTTTCGCGGATCCGCGTTTGGAGTGGAAAGCGCGTGCAAAATTGTAGTCTCCTTCTTAGGTGCGTGTTATCATGGGGAATGCGGATGTATAGTGCTGGCGGGCTGATAATTGGCGATTCCCTGACCGTCTGTGAGAAAAACGGAAGGGCTCAGTGGACACGATGGCCGGGGGCGGGTGGTTACTGCCAACATCATTGGTGGAAGGTCTGCGAAACGGGAGGGCGTTCGCTCACGCCCCATTTAGCGCTTCCACCAATGACGTTGGCAGCAACGGCCCGCCCCCAGCCTCGTACCCACTGCCAGTGAAATTTGGCCCGGAAATTTTGCATATGTAGAAAAAAAATGCTTATCAACATCAAACGCTTCATCTACTTTTATTTGCCTGCCTTCATTCCAGCTACAAAATGGTTCTAAACAGCGACGAAGAACGATTCGGCGGTCACAATCGTCTGCAGTTCGGTTCCGAGCATCACACCTTCCCTGAAGGTTGGAATGGTCGCCGAAATCATCTATGCGTCTATGCTCCATCACGAACATGCCTTGTTCTGAGACTCAAATAACTATGTAATCAACCTCATTGTCCGAGTTCTTCGGAAGAAGTTGTTATACTTGTTTTTGTTATACTGACAGTCTTTAGGACCTCTTTTTAGAATTTATTTCATAATGAAACGTGCTCAACATCTAGCCTTGAATCGCCATAGTTGACGGGACGAGAATGTGTACTACGTCTGCATTTTGATTGACCTTTATTTATAACATTCTTAGTTTTATGAGAATATTGATAAATGTTACCTAGATATGTGTCAAATCACTTTGTATACACGCACTGTTCATACAATGGGAAATCAATGAGTTAGTCGAAAAATCGAGAAAGTGAGAAATATGAGGGGAATGGGGGCGGGAGATTGGGAAATGAAGAATAGCTTAGCTCCCGTCTCGTACTGATCAAAAAGATTTACGTGGTTTCCATCTGCCTACCTCTGCTTGTGTAAGTGCTTATCCGCTCCCAAATATACCTGAATAACACGGATCCAGTGATGACGGGTGAGGGCAAGGAGATTCGAGCTAGTGTGACTCGCAGAAAATACACTCCATACCACGGAGCTGGAGTGGGCGTGGAGGCGCACATTGTTTCGACATCGAGGTATTCTGCTCTTCGGGGAAAGTGATCCCGTTATGAGGCATCGCAAAGATGCTTTTATCCACGACGACACAGGGTGACTGTTGTCTCGAATGGGAATATTCCACGGGAATCACTTTATGGGCTAAGTTTAGACACAATACGCAGCCACGCCTTCCTCACCTCCGGGATGTGGAGTGTCACCGCGAACGTGGCGGAGTGATGCTCCAGCTTCACTGCTGCCGGTAGTGCATTCACCATTTGCGCGATTGGTACCTGCGGCCCACGCGGCCACAAATCTGGGCATCCTGACCAATATCCTGCGGCGGCGTAGAACTGACGCTAAGCAGAAAAAGAAGCTGTACACCCTCAGAAAATGTAATGGGTTGAAAAGAAAGTGCTCGTAAAGCTCTTGTCAAGTGGCGGGATAGGCTTTGTTTAACGAACCGAGCATGTTCTTGAAGCTGCTCACCGAATTTTGAACGGAAAGGAGATGAAACAAGGTGAGAAAGTGGTCACATCAAACCACGGGGATGTGTCGCTGTAACGGCCAGCGAACACGGACCACGAAGCTTCAGTCTCGTTCGTCGTCAGGGCCACGATGTACCGCGTCAGGAGGACTGAGTTTGGCGCTGCACAGTCCGTTTTCCACCGGTAGTGGAAGCTGGCTGGGGAGCAGATTCAGTGAGTGGATGGCGCCGCGCTTAGTCGAGCTCTCCAGACCCGCCAGCGTCTGCAGCGAACGAGACTGTATATTGATTGCAATTGTTAGTATTAAGTACATGATATGGCACATTTGTTCGAGTACAAGCACATAATGCTGACGTAAGGGTTAAGTGACCTAAGCAGGACTCGAGCCTGCTTCTCACGCTTACTGAGCGAATCCAGAGTGGCGTTCAGATCGAAATAGACGCATATACTAAAGTACCACCGTCATAGGCAGGCTTGACTGTTCTAATATTACAGGCTCAGTTATGGAATGCGATTTATGCCAACGAAAAAAAAATAAACGGAGAAAAACGTTCCCCAAGCGGTCGACTCGTTTGTATTGCTCTAACTGCTTAAAGGCAGTTGGCACGATAAATCCCCCAAGACGACTAGGATCAATACTCCTGGCAGGATAGAATTCCGCGACCCTGGGCAGGCGCTGCATAGCGGTTTCCCCGAGGAAGGTGCCCTTATAAGGGCCCTATCAAGCCACAACTTTACGTCCCAAACGCCCGCCACGCCCACAAATGGACGACCGTTCCTGACGCTCGTATTCATTCATTTGCTAAGCAAATTATGAAGCGAAGGGATTGGTATGAAGCGGCCGTGATGCTGCATGGATATATGAGTACACATATGCAGCCGTACCTTCGGTAGCGGTTATTGGCAAGATGCCTACGGGAAACTCGTCCAAAATTGATTACTAAGGCAGTGAGACCGGAGGCTCTTCGCAGGATTTTGACCGTTTCACTCCGTTCTTTCGCCATTTCCCCACTACACAGCGCCTACTAGCATTTTAGGCTAAGTAGGAAACCATCGTGCCAACTGCCTTTAAACAGTATTTTTTCGCTGTGGATGGTGGGTCGTGTCTGGAAAGATTGGTTTGCCGCGCCGCCAAACTTGTTTTCCATCAGTTGCTGGAGCGAGCAATCAACAACACTGGATTTCGTCGTTCACATCAGTTGTTTTCCACCAGTCACTGTTGCTAACCCGCTTCAACAACAGACTACGACTCGGGGCGCCAAACCCTGCCTTATTGACAAGCCCCATCATCCGCAGCGGATGATGGGTGTTTACGTTCTACAAATGCACTAAATGCTAGCCGCCTTCACGCCGCCTTCAGACACTAACTGGAAGCAAAGGAGTGCGACTTTGGATATCCACATTGCAACGACTCACAAAAATGCTTCGACTGGCTGATGCTTCTTAGCTAGCTGACTCGACATTCTGTAGCACTTTCACGTCAAATCATTTAGGTTCTGCACGCTATGCTCATAGTGACGTGTCTTTTATAACGCCGCTTTTCATCGCATCACAGCGATCTGACCTTCTGGGCGACTCCAGGAAAAGAAAATGCTCAAATTTCGAAAATGTTTGCTTTGATTTGGAATCTATATTTTACGAGCACGAGAAAATGTTCCAACCTAATCCCTAATCCCATCGTTGATATCAATTCACAGCTCGTAATATAATGCTAAAATCTTTATGAGAAAAATAGTGTACTCTTCTATGAATTGCATTTGAAGCTTTAGAGAATCGCTGCCTATGACTCCACGCTCTTTTCTATTGCTCCAGGCCTTCAGCAAGACGAATAAGTCGTGTGAAATAGAATGGTTCGAACGCCACACCGGTACCACCGTAGAATTTAGAATTGAATTCGACCCTGAAATATTCGAGACTGATTGCTCATTGGTTACTCCTTATAGAAAAGTCTGAACTATCACGTCTTTCTGAGAATTTTTCACTAAAGGCATGATATTTACAGTAGTTTTCTCACCAGTGTAGACGAAGAGCGTGTAGAAATGCGGAAAGTCCTTCCATAAGAATCAGAATGGAGATAGACAGCGCTCCGAAGAAGTAATAGAGTATGAAGATCGCAGCCGATCCACCCCATCCACCCATTTTCAAGCCAATAGCCAACAGCATAGACCATAAGACTTCCGAAAGTTCTTAAAAAAACGATGAACTTTCGCAATTACTTGACTCGGGGAAGTACTTCGCATAGTCGATCTACAGGAGCCTGCCTTGCTGGGGATTACCAGAGGGGCTGGGTTTGTCGCGGTGCCTGCCAGTGCTTTTCAACTCTTGTGGCTTGTGAGCTTCAATAATTGGTGAATTGGTGGAAGCAGGCGCAGGATCTAAAGAGGGTCGTACTTTTTGGCTGGGGAGGGGGGGGGTCGTATTAGGTCGTTGTTGGGAGAGATGGGGTCGTAGCTTTGAGAAGAATTTACCGCGTTGGGAAAAATTT